CGGGGAGGACCTTGGACTTTCCACAGGGCAGGGAACCATGACTGCTCTTTGGATTAGAGAGGGAGGGGGAGAGGAGTGGGGGGAGGGGGAGAAGAGTGGGGGAGGGGGAGGGAAATGGGAGTCTGGGAGTAGGCGGAAACTTTTTTTCTTATTCTCAATAAAAAAATTTAAATATGACTAAATAAAATGAATGCTTACAATTTTATGCTATATATTTATGTGACCATAAACTGAACTTTATCAGTACTCGCCTTTCATGTTCCAAGGTCACTGACATTCCACACAACATCAGTGTGATTCATCTATTTATCCACATAGAGCAAATCACTTTTCTGACCAGAATCTTGGGGAAAGAGAGATAAAATAGTTAAGTATCACCACTGCATCTCTCTCACCTCACAATCCATACAGAAATACAAATGAACTACCACTCAGTTACAGAGTGAGAGTGACCACTTAGAATCTATGTTGCTTAGTCCAAACCACCACATAAGATAGGCTTTGAGAACTTTTCCAGACTCCAATAAATAATTACTCCTTCAGTCCTTGAGTTTTCTCTCTACACTACCTCAGTTTCATTTTCCACTAACTTGTTGAAATGTTGAATGTCCTTTTTTTTTTTTTTTTGGCAGTCAACCTGTATATATTGACTCATTGGTTTTGAAAGATAAATAGATTTTTACAGAAGGATAACATGATATTGAAAAAAAAGATATTTGATAGGGGCATCAAGGTTGAGTTTAAGGGTAAAGAATGACTGGATAAGTAAGATCTGCCATGCATACATACTTAATTTCAAGGACTATGTCAAATAAAATTTAAACGCCTTATGTGACCCTTATATTGATTGTGATTTGAAACTCTGAAAGTATATAGAAAAACTACGACTCATGAGGTTTGTTTCTAGGAGCTACTTCAACAAGAGAAAATTTCTTATGACAAAAAACAACTCTTTTGTCAGTGTTACGTATCACAGTATATAATATTTTGATCAAGAGAATTTATATATAGCAAAAATGACTAAATACAATTATAGGTGTTTATCTCTCTGAATTCTTCCCCCTTTTCTAGTTTTGTTTGAAATATGTTTCCTCATGGTTACTGTGGAGGGTCAGTTTTGAACTGCATAAAAACTGTGCAAGGGTGACTTGAGGTATCATTCTTGCTGACATGTTTGGAAAACCAAACTAGGAGGAGGCAAACCTCTTTCATAGGTAGTATGCTTTGCCAATTGTCTGTCCTTGAGAACATAGATGTGCAGTGTAGTTCAAAGGTTCTGATTAGGTTGTGGTTTGTCTCATGATGAGGTGTTTTTCATATTATATTACAGCAAAAGTTATTCCCATAACAATAGGCTTTTTGTTTAGATTAACTAGGGCACAAAGCTCTTAAAACTATTTGCAACAAGGTTATTAATTTATGTGACTATTTTCATGTATTATGTCACCTAGTTTGAATTGTTACTTGAGTATTTTAAAAGAACACTGGCTTTGCAATGAAGTATGCATTTGTATCTCCTACTCTGCATCCCCTGTGTCCTGATTTCTGTGGCACTACCCAGAGCCATCCATAACTGAGGTAGTTGGGGAAGGGTCCCCAACAATTGGCACCCAAACAGGGACTCTGAAAGAACATTAGGAGTGCCAGATAATAATGTAAGTAATTACAGGGTAATGGGACAAGCTAACTCTTCTCCACTTTTGTCTATGCTTAAACACTTGCTGAAAACTCATGGCGCTCATATATCTATGTCAGACTTAGAGATGTGTCTTGAAATTACCAAAGAATACAATCCTTGGTTTTCCTCAGATGAGAATTTAATGGATATAGGAAATTGGGATCGGGTTCAGATGAATGTTGAGAAGGCTGTGAAGCAAGGTGAAAAAATAATGGTGTGATTTTGGTCTGTACAGTATCTTGTTAACATAGCTTTTAAAGCCATGCAGACTGAGAAGCCAGCAAAGGACTTAGCATCTGAGATTTGTGCTCTGGTGAAAAAGTTACAGGTTAGTGAAGAAATGCATACTGAGATTAAAAAAGATAATTCCTAGTTAGAGAAAAGCCAGTTAAGGTTACTCAGAAGGATAATGGAGTTACTAAGGAGAGGACAAATAAGTTAGAAAAACAGCTGGAAAAATTGTCAACTATCGCCAAAGATAAAGTTAAAGTAAAACTGTCGGCTCATTCCCTGTGGAGGCAATCATTTAAGGCAACTGCAGTCAGGGGATATGCAGAATCTCTGGATTCCTCTGATATTGACTCAAAAAAATAAATAAATAAAACAAACAAACAAAGAAAGAATGAATGAATGAAGAGAATAAAGAAAGAAAACAACCGTATTGCTTAATTACTGCCTTTACCTTATTTGGCTATTGGTCAATCTTCTGCTATAAGGAAGACAGGAGGTGCGGTAAGTATATCCCTGGAGTACCAGCATTCGTGCTGTGTAAGTACAAAAAGGAGGTTAGCTGTGCAGCATGAGAAACAAGCAAAAGGTAACTCAAGTATAATTGTAAAATAAGAAGTAACTTGTATATAAGGGTTAAAAAAAAAGTAAAGTGAATATGGGCTAAGAAATCAGCAAGCAGCTGTTTGTACATTTACTTATAGATTCTTGAAAGGTTAGAGGTACTAAGGAAGGACAACAGCAATTGCTTCAGTTTTTGAAATGTATAAAGTATGTGCAACCCTGGTTCCCTGCAGAACGGAGTATGAATCTTGACATTTAAAAAGGTGTGTGAGAAAGAATGAGCAGACTTTGTCTTGGTCTGTATTTTGACTGTTACTATGTTGCTGTGTTATATGCTCATGTCTTTGAAAGGCTTAAGTGGTACTGTCTGTCATTACTAGTCCATTGTTGTCTATTGACCTTCTTTGTTATCCTGGAAGAAAGGAGGCAGGTTGCCTCTACTTCTAGATACCTGAGCATTTTTATTGGATCAGTTCCAGGAATTTGGATCCTGAAAAAAAAAAAAACTTCTCTAAGGAGAGGCATGACACTGGCCACCTCCCTTCATTGTTCTATGGCCCACAGCCAGCCAACAGCTCCTGCAGAGGGCAACTGGTGCATCCACATGCTCAGGTGGGCTGAGATACTACAGGGAGACATGCACTTGTGTATGGGGCAGCAGAGAATTGACTGCTTACAGTTGAAAAACTGCACGGATGTGTAACAGTGACCGGAGAAGTTAACTTTTTTTTTTTTCAGGAATACTGGTAGCCAGGACACATTCTGTGCCCACCAGCACTGCTCCCCCTCTTTTCTTTCCTAAGTCAAGTTCTTCTTCACTGTGATAACTCTCAAGGTCTTTTCTGCTGACCAGCATTTTCTCATTTAAACCCTTCTCTGTCTTGATACTGCTTTAAAAAATATTGAGGCAGGGTGATGGTGGCGCACGCCTTTAATCCCAGCACTCGGGAGGCAGAGGCAGGCGGATCTCTGTGAGTTCGAGACCAGCCTGGTCTACAGAGCTAGTGCCAGGACAGGCTCCAAAGCCACAGAGAAACCCTGTCTTGAAAAACCAAAAAAAAAAATACTTATTAATCTTAGAATGCTTGAAAACATGAATTTCAATATTCATGCTTATAGATTAGAATCTAAAATAAATTAAA